ACTGTAATTAAATGCTGAATGGCGGTTCATGCAGGGAAAGAACATATCAATATTTGCATATTCATTCAAAAACATGAAAATTCTTAATGGAGTACCCTCGTTTTTTATTGAATTCCTAAAAAACAATATTTATAATGAATTTTAATAATTTTTTCGAATTTTTTTTAAGCTTTATTCTGACCGATTTATCCGATTCCCAATCCGGATCGCCGATTTGCCGACCCGGATCGGTTTTTTGGAAGCCCGATCCGGGTCACCGATCCGTTTTTTAAACCATTGGTTTTTAGGCCGACCACCTACTTACATCCATCTTTAAAAAGGGTAGAAATGTACTTGAAATATCATTCTTTAATACATATAATTAAATAAAGTTGTTGGATTTGAAAGGGAATTTTTGAAACTCGCAACATATTCTAAGAGAGAAAATTATTTTTAAAAATTTGATGACACACTCTAAACCAATGGTTTAAAAAACGGATCGGTGACCCGGGTCGGGCTTCTAAAAAACCATTCCGGATCGGCGAATCGGCAATCCGGATCGGGAATCGAGTGAATCGGTCATAATAAAGCTTAAAAAAAATCCGAAAAAATTATTAAAATTCATTATAAATATTGTTTTTTAGGAATTCAATAAGAAATGAGGGTACCCCGATAAGAATTTTCATGTTTTTGAATGAATATGCGAATATTGATAAGTTCTTTCCTTGTATGAACCGCCATTCAGCATTTAATTTACATCACACAAAAGGATAAACATATAATTATCATGGAATAAGTATATCAACATACATGGACTACAATAAAGCATAAAATTAGTAACATATGATCTAAAAATAAAATGATAGACGACGTTATTGTTCTTCTTGGTTACGCTGGTGCCATTGATTGAATTCGTTTAACAATTCATTGATTCGATCTAAAAACGAATCATCGATATTAGCAGGCGTCTGACTATTCCCAAATCCCTGAGGGTTAGTGTTTTGTTGCGTTCTCAATCTAAAATCCTCGAAGATTGTCCATCCTTCATACTCACCTGCACTGTCGTGCTCATCCCTACAATGTTGCTGATGGGACTCCATATGTGAATAATATGGCTGGGATAGGGTGGCCACAGAATCATCATCTCTCTCATTTTCTCTTTGAATAATATGGATTAAAAAAAAAATAACAAATTTTCAAAAAAAGCGATCATGGATTAAAAAAAAAAATCACAAATTTTCAAAAAATTCTATCATGGATTACAAAAAAAAATTCGACTATGGATTAAAAAAAAAAATCACAAATTTTCAAAAAATTCTATCATGGATTACAAAAAAACATTCGATCATGGATTAAAAAAAAAAATCACAAATTTTCAAAAAATTCAATCATGGATTACAAAAAATTCGATCATGGATTACATAAAATTCGATCATGGATTACATAAAATTCGATCATGGATTACAAAAAAAACAAAAAATTCAATCGTGGATTACAAAAAAAGAAAAAAACAATTCGATCACGGATTACAAAAAATTCAATCATGGATTACAAAAAACTCTATCATGGGTTACAAAAAAAGCAAAAAACAAAAATTTGATCATGGATTACAAAAAAAAAATGAACATTTCGATCATGGATTACAAAAAAAAACAACATTTCGATCATGTATTACAAACATTCGATCATGGATTACAAAAAATTCTATCATGGGTTACAAAAAAAAAAAAACAAAAATTCGATCATGGATAACAAGAAAAAAAACATCATTTCGATCATGGATTACAAAAAATTCGATCATGGATTACAAAAAATTCTATCATGGGTTACAAATAAAAAAAAACAAAAATTCGATCATGAATTACAAAAAAAACAAACAATTTGATCATGGATTACAAAAAGTCGATCAAGTATTA